CAAAATTATGAAACCTTGACTCAAACTAAATTGTGTAGAGGAAGGCTCTATCTCCAACCAGCCCCTGCTTTAGGCATGTTATATTTTTCAGGGGAGTATGCTCATGTGACTCCATAGAAAAAAAGGCAAAAATACCTTGACTTTCATGTTGCTGTTTCTTTGCAAGTCTTTCTGCACCGTCTATCCTGGAAACATCACAGATACTTTTGTAGCACTGCTGAATGTGTTGATGGTATCCAAATGCCTGTAATTGAAAAAATGTTTTTAAAATATCACTCATTACTCTCATATCAATTATTTCACAATCTAAATCTTTGTCAGTTGATTGGAGAATTATTTATGGGTCAAAGAGAAATGTTCCATTCAACTCAGCTTCACCTTGTAGAATGGAACATTCTTTCATCCAACTTAGGAAAATATTTACACCATGGCACCTTCAGGTACAAACATTTATTATCCGTATATTATTCTTCACATGTAGCGATCAGGGGAAAAAAATTTAAAAATGGAAAAAAAGTGAAAATCTTAAATCTAAATATATTGACGTGAGGGCTTGACATTTAGAGAAGTGGGCAGGTTCTCATTATTTTTTTTATTATATTATACTTTCTAGAAAAAAAATAGCAAGCAAATAAAAGTACAGTTGAAATGAGGACGCTATCATATGACATGTACGTATGAGCTGCCAGCTTAAAGAATGCAGGGGTGTGAAATCTCCGCTATTAGCGGATTTCCGCTTTTTTGTTCAGCGTGCCACATTTTGTTTTCCGCTTTTTTTCTTCCGATGGTCCAGATTTTTCCCCGCTTTTTCCCCCGCGCGTAAGCATTGATTTTATTTCCGTTTATTTTATTTTCCGCCGCCGAACGCACCGATCCGCTCTCTACAACATACACGTAGCTCTGGGATGGGGGGCGTGCAAGCGAGTATTCAATGTACAATGTACATGTACATACGTACATGTACGTGTGTACTATACGATGCCATGTGCATGCATTTTTCAGCTCGAAGCCGCGTGTGTACACAACGTGTAAACAGCATCCGGGGAACCAACAGTCATTGCGCTTTAATTGGCTGCAGATAAATATGAATATTCACACATGCGCCATGAAGCGCGTTGGGACTCTTTGCGGCCGTTCCTGTGTCTATGCATGTAGTGACACGCGATGATCTCCACAATAACTCGCTGTAAACATCGTCTTGTTGCAAATATAAAGCCTTGAAATAAGACTAGTAAATTGTCGCCGTGCCGCGCGCCGGTAGAGGGCATCATGCGGGGCAAAGTTCATGTGTGCATTTCATTGCATGCACGCATCCTGCCTGCTGCGTGTATTCTGCTGCATGCTGATACGTACGTATAGTGTGTCGTTTTCAAATGTTTCGAACGTATTTTGACATTATTAATTCCGCAAGATGTCAGTGCAACACAAATGTGTTATTATCCAAAGAGGTTCGGAGTTTGATACGGACATTGACAAGACCGATCCTCAGGTTACGAATCCGTGGAAATGGATTTGGATGGAACACATGGTTAATGCCAATGGGCAGAAATTAGGCGACTCAAGCCAATATGAAGGAAAAGTTAACTTAAAAGATGCATAAATTGCAAAACATTTTCGACCAATAGTTGGCCAAGGCATGCCAGGAGGCTTTAAAATGCACCACAGAGCATCTACATTTCAAAAATTTTCAGGGGCCCTTGGGCGGGCCCCGAACCCCACGCCGTAAGGGTTCGCACTACGCGCTCGCAGGTTCGGTTATTTACAGGTTCAGCTATTTTCAGCTATTTTTTTTTTACTCCACTCACACCCCTGGAATGGCAAAATGTTGGTTTTAACGACTTCGTACTTAGATAAATATAAGTCTACATCACTCTACTTACCTGTAGAGCGAATACTACATTTGCATTGTTCCCTATGCCGGCAGGCAATTTGCTAAGAGTTTTACACAATAGCGCCCTCACGTGTCCTACCCACGACGCCCTGTGACATGCGCACTACGTTAGCGTCCTCTTTTTCTCTTAGCCGCAGGCGAGGTATAACGTGGAATTTCAATCGACCTGAATTTCACTATTTTATTCGTACCTCTTTTGCTTGGAGAAAGCTATTTCGAAGAAATAAAGAGAAAGTGTTTATTGTAGAGTTGTTCTAGTGAAGTTTTTTGAGTGAAGTGAAGTAAGAATGAGTAAATCTAGGAAGTTGGGGACGACTGGGTGTATCGATAATGGAGGGACCTACATCCCACCAGACAAGCCCGAGTTCTTGGGGGACTGCACCGGTGATGGTACGTCACCGCAGCAGCAGTCCCCTAGTCGGCCCCTTCAGCCAATGCCGGCTGTCGGAGCTGACGGACCCGTTGACCAAGCGGGGGGCCGTACAACCCCACCCCCTCCGGTCAAAATTCACGGGTCTGCCAACTGAAGGGGAAACGCACCGGCAAGACAAGGAAATTGTCTGACGCCGGGGCAGTACCCAAAAAGGGACGTACGGCGAAAGGTGGCCCCGCTACGGGGCGCACCGTGCCTGTCCCTGGCCCGTCTACGGGGCACACGCAGCCGGAGGAAGTACTCCTCCATGGCTCAGTGCACCCCGGCCCACCCAGCCCCGTGATTACCACGATGCCTGGGGATGGGCTGTTATATGGCCGGCTGATCGACCGTACAGCACCCGCCTATGTTACCGGCGTGGGGGCGCTGTCGGCCGCCCGGGCTATTGATAGCGTAGAGCCGAATCCCTGGGATTCCCCCAGAGCGTTAACGCTACGCTCGGAGGGCCATGCCTCTACATCGGATTTTATTCGTTGTTCGGGCATCCCCGTGTCCCCGCAATCCTCGGCAACTACTCGGAGTCGTTCTTCAAAGAAGAAAAAATCAAAAAAGAGCCGCCATTCCAGCCGTTCTTCGACGAGTTCTAGCGAGTCATCCGGCCGATCACACCGTGGGAAACGCCACAAGGGTGGCGACCCGATCTCACGCGATGATTTTTTGGAGGCTTTTCACTCCCTCGCGGCCTCATTGTCGGGCCGACAGGGAGATTACGGTCACAGTTGGCCGACTCCGGGCCAAAGGGACATGTACCGCACACAGTTAGCCGTGCGCCGGAGTCCCCTCCAGAATTACAGCCCCCACACGCCAGTCATCACGGCCGTGGTGGGGTGACTACAGACCAGCGGACAATGCCGTGCACGGAGGGCCGTGCACCGGCGTCCCCGCCCGGTATTAGTTTACACCCATCGGTGTCACTGGAGTCCGAGCGGGGCTCGATACCGGGACACCGTGACAGCGTTGCTTCGCCCCCTGGGCCTGGTTCCCATTCCCCAGTGACAACTCGCCCCCCGGACTCTGACAATTCGGCGGACGAGAGCGAACTGACCCGCACCATGCAACGCCTATCGGTGGCTGAGACCGAACTCCGCTTGGTCCAACGGGATATGATCAGAGTTCTGAATCTTCCTGCTGGGGCCGAACCTCCTCCTCCTGAACGTCAGTCATTCAAGAAGAGATCGGGACCGACGGCAGAACCAGTCCGGGCTTTTCCCATAATGCCCCTGGACCGCGTGTGCGTTGACCACATCGACGGGATAATGCACACAAAGACATGGAGTGCCTACGCTAAACGCGTAGACGCATATTATCATTTCCCCTCAGGGGATTTAGAGAAATATTTTTCAACTCCAGTCCTGCCGGACTCGGCCATTGACAAACTCGCCGCTGACCGAGGGACAGCTTCATCCAAGGTTCCTTTTACGGACAAGACCCGTGGAAAGCTGGAGGATGTCACCCGGAGAATGGACTCGGCGGCACGCATGGGTATGCATGCGACGTCCTTTCTTCTTCTCCTATCCGAGTACCTTGCTCTGGGATATGAAGAAGATTCGGTGATACAGCCGACATGATGGTGGCTGCTCTCCATTGCCTCGATCGTGGCCTATGCTCCACTCTTGACCAGTTTGCTAGAGTGTCGACATTAGCAACATCGTCACGCCGCACCAATGTGCTAGATGCGCTCTTCCTCCCTTCACCGGGAGCACGAAAGCGTCTCGACGATCTCCCGCTCTCAGGCCCGGACTTATTTTCTGGTAAGTTCCAGGAAGCCATGGAGGCCGAGGCGAAGCGCCTCAAGGCCACGGAGAAAATAAATCTCAAGAAACCGGCCGAGCCGAAAACCGCGGACAAGACAAAGAAACAGCCGTCTTTTGTCATTCCCCGGCGCCGCCCCCCGGTCAGAGCGGCCTGTGGTGGATTTCGTGGGCGCGCCGATAAGGCGGTCAGCTCGCGCTATTCACAACCACATACCGGACAACAGCGTCCCCAGTCGGGACGCGGTTTCCGTGCGCCCACTCCCCGGTACACCGGGGCGTGGCACAAGTGACTTATGCGTCTCCGGGCGGCCTCCCGCCGCTGGACCCGTGGGAGGCCGCCTTCAGGAGTTTGTGGGGTCCTGGGTGCAGGTGACTTCCGACCGGTGGGTCCTCGAAACGATCAGCAGCGGTTACGCGCTCGAGTTTACGAGGACCCCCCCGTCGGACATGCTTATTCGGACAACGCCCGTACCGCCCGACACAGCAAAACGCCGCTCCCTCGAGGAGGAGATCGACGCCCTCCTTCTAAAGAGAGCAGTTCGTGTTGTCCCCCAAGGGGGGACCCGGGCAGGTTTCATGTCAACCTTCTTCTTGGCCCCCAAGAAGGAGACCGGCGTGTGGCGTCCAATACTGAACTTAAAACCCCTCAACAAGTTCATACGTCCGAAACGTTTTCACATGGAAACGTTACGGACCATTCTTGCATCGATCATAACGCCAGCGTGGGCGGCCAGTATAGACTTGAAAGACGCGTACTTTCACGTACCGATCAGGCCGGAACACCGCAAATTCCTACGTTTCCAATACAAGGATATATATAGTGTACGAATTTGTGGTGCTCCCGTTCGGGCTATCCACTTCTCCGCGGGTGGTCACCCGGATCGTGAAGACGATCGGGGCGGCACTGCGGCGACGAGGGATCATGATATTCATGTACCTCGACGATTGGCTAGTAGTGGGTCGTTCTCGAGGGGAGACGGAAGCGGCGCTCCAACTAACGTGGCACCTTGCTTCCGACCTGGGATTTCTCATCAACACCAAGAAATCCCATCCAGTCCCCTCTCAGGTTCCCACCTTTCTAGGTGCATTCCTCAATCTTCGCAGGGGACTGGCCCGTCCATCGGAGGATCGCCTGCTGAACCTTCGGCAGTGCGTGTCCCTCTTCCTCCCGACGGTAGTGGCTCCGGCCCGAGCCTGGCTCAGGCTGTTGGGCCTTATGGCCAGTCTGGTGGACTTAGTGGATTTTTGCAGGCTGAGGATGAGGCCAATTCAACTTCACCTGCTGTCTTTCTACAGACCCCGCTGGCACCCGATCGACCATCCGGTGCCCACTACGTCTTTGCTAGTCCCCCACCTTCGTTGGTGGCTAGTCGAGGCCAATATAACGCAGGGCCGCGTTTTCCGCCCGCCCCGCCCGTCGGTACTTATCACAACCGACGCGTCAGGATACGGCTGGGGGGCTACCCTCCACCCGCGACAGGTCGCGGGTGTATGGGGCCCCGCACATCAATCATCCCACATCAATGTCCTGGAAATGCTGGCAGTCACCTACGCACTAAAACATTTCCAGTCGGACGTCAGAGGGCAAGCAGTCCTGGTACGATGCGACAACGCCACAGTAGTGCCATACATCAATCACCAGGATGGCACTCGGTCAGGCCATCTGTGTGCACTAATCGACCGACCGCATGTAGACCTATTTGCGTCGCGAATGAACAATCAGCTACCGATCTACTGCGCGAGGGGCCCAGATCCCAACGCGTGGCAGACCGATGCGCTGTCGGTGCGGTGGGACGGCCTACTGGCCTACGCCTTCCCACCCATCTCCCTCGTTTCTCGAGTGCTGACCAAGATCGAGCAGGAGGATGCCGAATTCTCCTCATAGCCCCGTTCTGGCCCCGCCAGCCGTGGTTTGCCCGGCTCGTCCGACTCTTGGTTCACCGCCCGGTAATTCTACCGAGGAGGGCCGATCTCCTTTATCAGCCCAGCTCGGGAATCAGTCACCAGGCTCCGGGGGATCTTCACCTGACGTGCTGGGTATTGTCACGCGATCCCTCTGCTCAGCAGGCCTTTCGCGACGAGCTGCTACAATTGCAGCCCAGTCCCGTAGAGCCTCAACCAGAAAGGTGTACGATAGCCGACTACGCCATTTCTTTAAATGGTGTAGACGGCAATCCATTCATCCCCCCAATACTTCTGTAGGGGAAGTGGGGGATTTCCTCCTATACCTTTTTAACAGTGGGCTCACGACGGCCACGGTCAAAAATTATCGATCGGCCTTTGCTGCGATCCATCAGGGATTTTCGGACGGTTCCTCCGTTTCCGGCAACCCTGCAATTAGCCAACTGATCAAGGGGATGTTTAATACTCGTCCCCCAGTACTCACATCTTGGGACCTCTTCAGTGTATTATCTACACTGGCGAAGGCTCCCTTTGAACCAATGAATTGCTCAACTTTGTTACAGCTCTCCATCAAAGTAGCTTTTCTATTGGCTGTTGCTACGTCCTGACGACGTAGCGAACTACACTCGTTATCGATACAGACAGGACACATCCGGTGGGAACCGGGGAGTGTCCGCCTGATCCCTACGGCCGGTTTTCTCGCAAAGAACCAGTCGGAGACCTTTATGCCCCCGGACATCTTTGTCCCGGACATCAAGTCTTTTTCGAACGAGACAAACGACAAACTTTGGTGCCCAGTTCGAGCACTTAAGTGGTATGTGCTTCCGTACGAAGTCACTTCGTACGGGACACGACAAATTGTTCATCACGACGACCCCGCCCCATGGGCTGGTGTCCCGCGATACAATCACTCACTGGATCGTGACAGCTATCCATTCCGTACCGGGCGGCTGGCCAGCGACCCAGGGACCCATTCGAGCGCATGGGCCTTTTTTAAGGATGTCCCCCTAGGTGACATCGTCAAGGCAGCCTGCTGGAAGAACCCTAACACGTTCTCCGAATGCTACCTGAAGGATGTCCTCCAGGCAGATGGCAAGGCTGGAAGAGAAGTGCTGCTAGCGGCCAGTCGAGCCTCACGGAAGCACTAACGGGTGAGCATATAAATATACATATATATATTTGTATGGGCATTAAGTTTAATTAGGTGTACCTATCATGTGTTCATTCCCATAATGGTTACACCCCCCTGACTTTTTGCGCACGAGCTCTTTGGGTTCCCCTGACGAGGTGAAGCCTAGAGCGTCTGGGGTGTAGGTTTTTGGTTTGGTGTTGTTTGCCTTTGGACACGCCTCATGTCCTACACCCCTGTAGACATACGGTAATTCGCGTATACCCACCGCCTAACTCGGTGCGAGTCTATGCATATGTAGTATTCGCTCTACAGGTAAGTAGAGTGATGTAGACTCCCCCCCCCCACAGTAGTGTGGTTGGGGTCTACGAGCGAATACTTACCTGTAGAGCACCCCTCCCTCCTTCCCCACTATACTCGATTCCTTGAGTGCTTACGCGAGTAACGCTTGAGAAAAAGAGGACGCTAACGTAGTGCGCATGTCACAGGGCGTCGTGGGTAGGACACGTGAGGGCGCTATTGTGTAAAACTCTTAGCAAATTGCCTGCCGGCATAGGGAACAATGCATATGTAGTATTCGCTCTACAGGTAAGTATTCGCTCGTAGACCCCAACCACACTACTGTGGGGGGGGGGGGGGTGAATTATTACCGAGCAAATTGTGGCTTAAATTGAATGGTAGACCCACAACATACTACACAATCAAATCCCCAATGATGCCAAGTATAAAGTCAAAGTGGATTTTGTTCTCCTTATTTTTTAAATCAAGGGAACCGGCCGTTCTATACACAGTCGCCAAGTTCAGGGAGCATAGGCCTACTCAATATAAAATGTTCTGTAGTGTAATGTAAGAGTCTCTTCCTTGTCTTAAAATCCTATATCTGAGTGAGGGGGGGAAAATTCTTTGTTCTGTGGCTTTTCCTAACCTTGCCAATCATGATCATCAGATCATGCTGTCAACAATGATGGACGGTCAGATGGTCTACTAAAAATATTATTACTAGAAACATGTTTTACAAAACAAATCACACATCATATGAATCTACTAGGTTGTAGAAAAAAATATTCTGAAATATTCCGAATCCAACAGCTTCTTATAATTAAGTTCAAGGCAAGAATAAGAACTAACGTAGGCCGATGATTCCGGTATCGCCTTCCGAAATTCTCTCCTTCCACGAGAGTGCAGCATCAGTGCACGTGCATGCCGATGAACTTCTCCGCTTTTTCCATGATTTCTGCGTGTGTTGATCACCCCACATTCTTCCGACTAGCAGCACAAGCAAGTAATTTTATCCAGCTTGTCTCGAAGAACGATGAAACGCTCGATTCGGCATTCAAAACATGCATAATGCACTTCTTTTCGTCCGAATCGCCGTCGTCCGAGGAGCTCATGGCGGCTGCCATCTTGCTGTCTAGTAGTACTTACGCGCATGCGCGTGCTCTTACTTACAGCGCCCGCTATTGGTCCATTCACCGCACCACGACAGAAGGGCCTCGCTGATTGGTCGTTGGAAAATAATGACGTAATTCTTCACTCGGCATTTTTTGCGCCGAAACGGAGGAAATCTGAACTTTAAATCGCGATTTTGGTACCGTTTTGGGTCACGGATCAACGGTGGATTTTATATGTGAGCATCCCAACAGCTTCCTGACTAGTTTGAAGTACAATTTATTTAGATAAATGATATGTGATATGCGTCGCGAACCTGCAAGATAATCGGCCATGCATCTTGGTCTATAATTCAACATGTATAATCAACCCTAAGAAAAACAGGTTTAACATGTTCCAATCAACTAACATTTGCGAAGTACATATTTTTTTCCCCTCATGGGAAAATGTGTCTGAAAAATATTAAATAATAAATAACCCACTGCCCAGTAAATTCCAAGATGTTCTCATTTATTTCCAAATAAATTCTAGGGGTATATACTGCTAATATCTGGTTAATTGCTTTCCCATGAAGACCAATAACCCAGCCCATCCGTTTAAAGACAAGACGAAGGAACTAGACTTATGTTTGTGGACAAACACAGGGCTGTTTCGGTAACTTTTTTGTGACATAGTATAAGTTCCAACCAGAAAGGATGTGTAGTTCTGTTTATAATAAATGGTGGCATATAAATATGTGATTACATTCTCATAGGGCTTTGAATTACATGTATGAAGTCACTTGTCACGTGAGGATGTCATGATGACGTCATATCGATTTTCATCTATAATCATCTATAACAACCTGCCGCTAGAGGGTGCTCTAACATTTATGACATCACCGTTATTTTTGTTGGTTAGCCAGAGCATACCGATACATCGTTGAAAGCAAGTTCACATCTTTTACCAATTTTAAATTACTAGGCACTTCCGGTTTCAACCGGAAGAAAGGGTCGCGTGATTTTGCACGTAATATAAAAAATGAAGACCCTGGATTATTTTATCAATTCCTGCAAACGTCAAGTTCAGGTTTCTCACGGTTACTTTTGTATTAATTTTCAAACATTACACCCATTTATCTTTTACATGACGTCAGGTGACCCATGATGACGTCATCGTGACGTCACTTCAATTTTCATCTATAACACATCCTTGTCTAGTTACATACCAACTTTCAACTCAATTGGACCTGTAGTTCTGTAGATGTAGGCCTTCAAAATATCCACTTTTAAAATGACGTCACGTGCCATGTGATGATGTCATCGTGACATCACTTGAATTTTCATCTATAACACATCCATAGCTGCCAACTGTTACGAATTTTTTGTAATTATTACGAATTGTTTGTTAAATTACGAAAATACGATTTGCCACTAAAACATTACGAATTTCCCATTTTCTACCTAACGAAAAAAATAATACTTGTAAAGTATCGTTTTTGACCGAAAACTTCTGTATGGATGGACTGGTGACAAGCCTAATAAGAATGCAGTCAAGCACCTGTTAGACATCAATGCAGTGTGCGCAGTGGAGTACTTGAGGACCAGACTAAAACTATTTTCAATGGTGTGTCATTTGTGTGCATCTCGTAGATGTGTGGTTGTGTGTACTGTATGTGAGTACTTTTCAGTGACGATCGTGAGCACATTTGGTCGCTTATTGCCGGGATGAGACCCATCATAGTGCGAGATTTTAATCATGAAATTTAATAAGAGTATGGTTGGAATAATTGATAATAGAGTTTGAGTTTGTCACAACGTCCAGAAAAGATAAATCAGCATGCGTTTGCAAGGTATGTTGACGGGATATTTCTATTGCATACGGTGGCCCTAAATCATTGTGTGTAAAAACAAGATCTGAAGATACGAACTCGAAACTCCACATCGATAGCATGCATCTCAAAAAATATGCGCACATGTTATTATTGTTAATATTTGTTGTATTAAACAAATACAGACATTAAAGCAAAATTAATTTAATTTTTTTTTTTTTTATTATCTTTTGGCCTACAGTACATTATTATTCACAACAAGAAGGGTATGCACATGTATGTGTACATGTAAACCATGTACCTGTACTCGATGTTGGTAAAGCTTTTGAAAAAACGAGCAGTTGAAAATGACCGCGCGGGTTGATTACTAATTGGGATTTTGAAAAGTTGGCAGCTATGCACATCCTGGTCTACAAATGTACATACCAGGTTTCAAGCAAATTGGACCTGTAGTTCTGAAGATAAAGGCCTTCAAAATATGCACCTACATGTATATTGTGTCATCACGTGACTTGTGATGATGTCATGATGACGTCAATGTTCGTCACACAGCGGCAGGTGCTGGTCTAAGTGTGTGCCAAGTATAAAGGCAACCTGATTGATATTAGTGGCCAAAGTGCTGGGTACTCCTAGAACTATGAAGTATGAGGCTCCG